CCTGGTGTTGGTACCAGAGGAGCCGTTGCTTCAGAGGCTCAAGAATGCAGCTACATCGGCAGAGACTTATTAGCACGGGGTGTAAGACTTCTCGCCCCTTCTCTATATGAATACACCAACTAAATATCCAGGGAAATGCCGTCGATGCCATGATTGGAACGACATTCTGTGTTGGTGTTATCGGCATGTACCACTCCGGCATTGGAGGCGGTGGTTTCATGATTGTGCGTGACAAGAAGGGTAACTACGAAGCCATCGACTTTAGAGAATCAGCCCCTGCAGCAGCATTTGAGGACATGTACCAAGGAAATGTGAACGGTAGCATCTACGGAGGTCTTTCTGTTGGTGTGCCGGGCGAAGTCCGTGGGTTTGAGTATGCACACAAGAAATACGGTGTATGAACCACAGACACACTGCAAGTTACCACAAGCTAATATTTTAAACAGAGTCTTCCATGGAAAACAGTCTTACAAGGAGCTATTAAGGTGGCTCAAGATGGATTCATAGGTCCGCCCAAGGAGAGTAGAGAGACAAAAAGTTACAAGCTGACAAATGTCAGTCAATGCCGACATGGCAAGGTTTATCGAAAAGACTATTAGAGACCATCACAACTTCTTTGTCGAGGATCCTTCATGGGCAGAAGATTTTACCCGAAATGGTATGCTTTTTAACACCCAACGCTGAGACCAGGGCTCACATGTAGCAGGACAGCTTATCCCAGAAGGAGAGAAGATGACAAGACGACGATACGCCCGGTAGGTCGAGGTTCGATGCCAGACTTCAACATAGCTAACCAACCCAGTACACTTCAAGCTATCGCAGAGCATGGCGCTGATGCCTTCTATACCGGTGCTTTCGGTAAGTTAACTCTGCATCTGAAAACTGAGTAGATAATAACATGGATTAGCTGAGAGCATGGTCAAGACCATCCAGGAAACAAATGGTACCATAACACTGGATGACTACAAGAACTACGATGTAATTTCTCGAGAGGTCCTTCACACTGTGTACAAGGGGCACGATGTCTACGGCATCAGCTCTCCAGCCGGTGGCGCCGTATCACTCAACATCCTGAACACCATGAACGGATACACTCACCAAGACGAGGATCGAAACACCACACTGCACATCTACATCGAAGCCATGAAGTTCGCATACGGAGCTCGTCTGCACCTTGGCGATCCTGACTTTGTAGACGGCGTTCCTGAGCTCGAACATGAGATGCTCAATGCCACAACAGCAGAAAAGATCAGGAGTAAAATCGATCCTAGAAAGACCCAGAAGATTGAGAAGTATGATCCTGATGGCATCTACTCATCTGACGGGCATGGAACTTCACACGTCGTCACTGCGGATGGCGATGGCATGGCTGTTTCGCTGACCACCACCGTCAACCTCATCTTTGGATCTTTCCTCATGGACCCTCTCACTGGTGTGATCCTGTAAGTGGTACCAACCTCTTTCAATTTTGTGGTCATGGACTGACCGTCACAGAAACAACGAAATGAATGACTTCTCTATTCCGGGAGTTCCTAATGAGTTTGGTTTCGCACCAGCAGAAGCAAACTTCATTCGTCCAAACAAGCGCCCCCTATCCTCCTGTACACCTCTCATTGTATCCAACAAAGACGGATCTCTCTTTGCCGTCATCGGAGCTGCAGGGGGCTCACGTATTATCTCCGCCACTACTCAAGTTGCGTGGCGTGTATTGACTTCTCCATCGTGGTCTATCAAGGATGCTGTTCGTGAGCCCCGTGTTCACAACCAGCTCATCCCGAATACGCTACTAGTGGAGAAGAAGTTCAGTTCGTACGATGTTCCATCGCTGGTGGAGCGAGGCCATAATATAACTTGGGTCGATGAGGGACTGAGTACAGTTCAAGCGCTGACAAGGGACTCAGCTGGTGTTTTTCAGGTCGCTCCTGAACCCAGGCAGAAGAACAGTGGCGGTGTGACATTGTAGACAGCACAGGAAGAGATGGAAGCATACACGTTTATATTCCTGATTGAGCGATCAACACTTGTAGAAGGACACAGCATACGACATAGAACATTGACTTGATTATGCCCAAGCTTTGTGCTTGCTGTATTAATTTCTCTAAGCTGTCTCTTCTCTCCCTAGAATCTTAGAAAGGGGGTATCCTTTAGTCTATCTCCAAAAAGTCTACGCTTTTTGTTTCGCAAGTGACACCAAACGTGCCAACTGAACCGTCCACTTCTTTGCAAACTCCTCCTCGGTGAATCTCTTTGCCGACTCTCGTGCACGCAGACGAAATGCCAGAGGATCTGGCAGCGACAAAGCCTTCTCGAAGCCCTCTGCGAATTCTTCTTCGGTCGTTGCGTGGAAACCTGTTTCATTGTGTTAGAAAGATCCCGACATGGAATTTTCAGTCAGCTTACCAGTTGGCTGGCCATCGATGGGCACGACGATATCGAATTTGGGCCCAGCACTGTCATGAACCACGGAAATGAGTCCAGCAGCTTGGTATTCAACAACGCCGATTCCGAAGTGCTCATTCCACATGCCGTTGACACCCACAGATGCCCTTCTTAACCAGTCCAGAACATCTGACCATGGGGCATCGAGGTGGAACTTGACACTGTCTTTGATGCCAAGCTCATTAGCAAGAAGTCGCAGCTCGTACACACGCTTTGAGTCTGAGTCATCTCGCACGCTTCCGATCAGAATCAGCTGTGCTCCATTGGATGCCTCGCTCTTGGTCTTGAGGAAAGTAGCGAATGACCGCATGATGAGTTGGTGGTTCTTTTCAGGTCGAAACTGGGCGAGGTAGACAAGAGCTTTTTCTCTTCGCTTCTCACTCTCTTCGGAAACTTCGACTTCGCGTTCCATTTCTCGGACGGCGGTGGGAGGGTAGACAACTGCGATCGGATCTGTCTTGCTCTTCTGTTTGCGATAAGGGCCCCATAGACTCTTGATGTGGCCTTGAGTCCAGGTAGAGTTTGTCATGACAATATCAACCGTCGAGCCAACCCAAGAGTACAGAATGGCAAAAAGTTTCCAGTAATTCTTCTTGGCGAAACCCTGAGCTCCAGCACCCTTACCAGCATGTGCGCCCTGAGTTCCCGAGGCAGCCGTTGAATCGAGCGAGTCGAGCATGTCGGTAGAAATCGTAGGATAGTGCACATATGCCCCTGTAGGAACCTTGGGGAAGAGAAACTTGCATAGACCGAGAGCGAAGGCGTAGCCCATGGTGTCGACAAAGACGTCCGGGACCAGTAGTGAGAAAGCGTCCCAAGCCAAAACGACGGAGCCGATTGATTGGCCAAGCAGCGTGAAATGAGGCCATGTTGAGGGGAGTACCCAGTCTCGCTTGGAGAGGTAGAGGAACGTTATCGTGGGAGCATGGAGCTCAATATTGAATCTTGTCTAACATGGTGTAAGCATGCAGTGGTCCTCAGGGCAAGTTTTCAGGTCGTATACCTTGACTCGATTTAAGATCGCATCTTTTGTCACATTGTGATCGCCTGTGTATACCACACATTTGGCTTTTGGCCAACGATCTTGTGTGGCCCGAATCGCGGCCCAGAGCACTCGCTCTCCGCCACCTCCAGCATTGCTCCCTCACATTAGCTAGGTCATACGGTAGCTTATATGACAACATACCAGAACGGATGGAAGAAACCAACGATCCCCGACCAATCCCTTTGCGAGCTCAGAGTGCTTTGAAGATTATCGTCAACATCGAATACGAGTTTCGTCGCTGCGGTGCCTTGAGGGTCCTTAGCGCGGGCATCTTTATCCTCCTGTGTCATGAGGGCCAGAAGGTGTGCACGACGGCCTTCTGTTCGTTTTCGAAGAGACCATCCTAGAAACCGTCGTAGAAGTCCGCCTATTAGAGGCAGAGCTATCAGAATGGCCAGAGGCACAAGCGTCGCTAGGGACGCCATCGTGGTAGCCGTCTTTCGCGGTCAGGAGGCGGTAGTATCGGGAAGGCTATTCGGGGGGGTCGCAGGGGAATCGAGAAGCTATGAAAAACAGGTAAAGAAAATGCTTCGACCAGCGATATTTATATGGCCTCAGGGGGGTTGAGGCTGTCAGCTTTTGGTAGCGAAAGGCTACCATGAGAGAGTGTGTGGGATGATAGTGTGACGTCTCCAGCTGGCCAGACCAGGTCTCAAAAAGTTCATCCACGGGCTTGGTCTTGGACTTAGTGGGGGATAGGAACAGGCACCAGCACCGCTAGAGGAACCCGAAGCTAAGCTTTTGGATGCTGCTGCAAGCTCCAAAGCTCAGTATCTGACCCACTGTAGCTGCGCAAGCTACAGGGGGGAGAGAGGCTCCTGACCCTTGTCACTGGACCCCTTCTTTAAATTCGGCAGCCCGCGGAGAGAACTTATGATAGCTCTGTTCCCTCCAGAAAGTTAGAAAGAAAATCATTTTTAAGAATACGAGATCAAGGACTGAACGGACCAACCAGGGCTCATTCTGCGTCCAACGGAATAATTATGGTCAAGGGCGCTTCCATATTCGATCATAAAGCCACGTCTTCTCGAGAACTTTTTACACAAATCTACAAGCACTTATATGAATTGTCATTAATAATCAATCTTGGCTATTTTACTGGTTGCTTTATCAACTTATAATGAGAGTTGCTATAAATAATGAAGGTGCCTAACTCAGAGCGTAGTGCACAAGTCGAAGAGCAAAGAGTTCATCCTCAAGACTATCAAGAGGGTTTGAATCATGCTATACAAACGGACTCTGCAAAGTTAATACTAGCACTGATCATTTGATAGTACTTGGATATATAGGGCACTCGTAAATATATTGTTCCTTACTGTTGTCCCGTACAGTGGTTCTTCCTTACCTAACTACCAGCAGTACTAGTCGAGATATTCAACGATGAACCGTTAGCGCTGATTGGCTGAGAACTCAGAAAAATAGCCCCAGTTTGACCTCATGTCATGGACTTTCGAGACTCACTCACACCAGCACCAAGTCCTCCATTGCACCCGCAACCACGGTGTTAAGGGTCAAAATGTCCCTAATAAGAAGAACTGCCCATTCCATGTCGCCTCAGGCCAGGCCATCACTCTCAGCCATTAACACAACACGCCGAATCTCACATCCAGCCATTCTCAGCCCATTAACTTCATCGCCATGCGCCAACCGCAGGAACTTCTCTGTCGCTTCTGCGCTCGGTGAGACAGTCACCATGACAGCCGATGCCCTCAGCTGGGCTCATAGCGCTGGCGTGCCGTGGTATGTGGCTATACCACTACTTGCTGTGGGCGTCAACGCAACCATCCGATTCCCTCTTCAACTATACAGCGCTCGTTTGCGGGAGGCTAGAAAACCATTGGATCCTCTTATCACAGCTTGGACTCGTCGGCATATGATGGATAGGAGCTTAAACAACCCTGAACTTCCCGATCGTGTGAGATCGCTTCGCGTTGCAGGTGCAGTTGAAAAGTCAAGACGGAGAATATTAAAGACATGGGGTCTCCAGCGCTGGAAAAGTATGGCACCTTTACTTGGAATGCTTCCCTTTGTCACCATATCTGAGGCTCTTCGAAGGAAATGCGGTGCACCCCTGGGTTGGATCAGTCACAAGATTGGCCTGGGTAATACTGGACTCGGGCCCTCGAGCAGCATGTTTGACCAGTCCTTGGTGGACGGAGGCTTATTCTGGTTCACCGATCTAGCGTCTGCGGACCCTTACTACGGGCTTCCTGCCATCTGCTCGGGTATTCTGGTATGGAGTATATGGGCGAGGATGCCCAAGGAACAAATCCAGGCACTATTGCGAATCCAGCCCCCAGGCGCAAAGATGATGGTCGCCTCCAGACTACAACAACTCCTGGGCCGTGTCATGCTTATGATGCCCCTACTGCCACTCCTCTTTGCCGATCTGCCAAGCGCCATCTTCCTTTACTGGGGTACATCATTTGCGCTTACCCGCGTCAATGACTTCTTTATTCAACGTCTTGTTCCACCAAAGACGTCAGATCTGAGGGCACCTAAGCCATCCAAGGAATTCCCTTTCGTGCTCAAAGACCAATCACGGATTGCAAAGACATCTGACAAAAAAACAATTGATTAAGCGTTCATCTGTAACTATCAATGTAGACTCATGGGGAAAATTCGATGTATAGGTCCCTAGAAAACTCCAATAGACGCCTCAAGAACAAGAACAGGCCACCCATAATCGTCAGTCGCTGCGCTCTAAGAATCTAGTCAAGGACAATAGCAAGAATAACAATGGTCAAAATGACGGCGAGGATCAGCAACAGGCAGCAGCTCTTGTTGCGGGCTGCCTTCTGATACCGCGCGGCCTGTCGGTTCTCAACATCAGCTTGCCGCGTGTCGTCCCGGACGTTCTCAACATTGTCTGCGATCGTCCCAAGCTGCTCTCCCTGCTCATTGACGATTTGCGCCACCTGTCGGAAGAGAACGTTCAAATCGCCTACACCCTGCTCAATATTGCGAATCTCCTCCTCGCGCTCGATGATGAGAGCTTCCTGGAAGTCGACTTCGTCTTGGGGTGCGAGCTGGGAGACTTGCTCTTGTTGTTGCAGCTGCTCAAGCTGATTGCCGGACTGGGGGCCTTCGGCGGATTCACCCTCCTGTGCGGCACGGGCGGCGGTAACGGATGCGCGCTCCTTCTCGAGGGCTTTTCGCTGGAGGCTTTGGAATTCTTGGAGAGCTGCCTGGAAGTCGCTCGAGACCTTTGTTTGCTCGTACTTTTGTTGTTTCTGCATACAATTAGCATGCGACAATGACCGAGACGCATTTTCATCATAGTACCGTCAATTCTTCCCAAGTTTGAAGGCGCTTGACGCCCTCGCCGATCTCTCTGCACATATCCCTCGTCTTATCCATGCTATTGTGAACTCGCTCCCGCAGGCGCGGGGTATCCTTACGTGTGCCGAGCACATTGACATCGTTGGCGAGTTTTCGATTGTTGCTGAGGAGGGCTTGAAGCTTGCTCTTGAGGTCGTATTGAAGGGCTTGGAAATCAGGGTCATCGCTATAGCCGGCGCCGCCGCGCCCGGATTCTAGATCGTACGACATGGTTGTTGTGATGATGTAAGGTCGAAAGGAAGAGTTGCGTGGATGGAGGCTGGGCCCTTGACTCTGGACTTCAGCCGGAAAAGTGGGCCGGGACAACCTACCTAACGTAAGTCTGGTCTAAATACAGAGGACCTTAGAGAGAATGAGAAAAGATCCTAGGACTTTGACCCTAAGAGATAAAAATATTTAGGTAGTTTAGCCTAAGCTTAGGAGAGTCTTTGCTGAGTTTATTTTGGCATCTTCTTCTATTGTCTCGAGTTTTCTTGTTCCCCAAAGCCCGGTCTACAAGCAGAGTCACTAGCCAAAGAAGATGGCTGGTTTTTGTTGATACAAGACAAGAAATCAATGTGAACGCAAAAGTCAACTCAGGCGTTTTGATCAAGAACTCACTTGCGGTCGAGAATATCCTCCAAAACGTTGAGGAACAAGAGGGAGCGAGACACCAGACCTGCTGCCTGGTTCCAGTACGGTTTCGTTAGTAGATCTTAGGGCTAAGTGATAGAAATACTTAGGTACCTTAGCCTAAGCTTAGGGGACCTATTACTGAGTCTATTATGACAGCTTCTTCTAATTATTGTCTAAAGCTTTCTTGTTTTGCTGCCTTGTTCTGAGGTGGCTGAGGTTTCATTAGTAGTTACGGATACAGCGCCATGCAAACATACGTAATTGGACATGCATCTCAGCCTAGCCAACCAGAGCGGAGCCGGACCTGATGCTATCAGCACGTGACAGATAATGACGGAGCTTGGACCTTAGCGTTTCTGCGATCGAGTCGTTGCTGCTTGGAGATTTTTATTATTTACTTGGGGCTTGAGCTTAGAGCTTCCATTGTGAGTCCCTCTTTGAATCAATCCACGACATCATCGCCCAACAACGTCTCGAGCCCTTCTTTATCCTGGGGATGCGCTGTCAAGATGGCGCCTACCACGGTTAGAAAAGCGCCTTACAAGGACTTTCTACAGCCTGCTCTTCACAGACGATTCACTTCTACGGCGACTGTTTTGCTGCTCGTGTCCTACCTGCTGGCGGTCGTCCTGGACGGCTGGAAATCTTGTAAGTCAAATTCATTTGAACTTGCACTTGCGCCAACACTAAATCCCATTGTTTAGACTTTTGGTCTTGGTTTCCCATTGGCCCTGTTGGTGTACGAACCCTCTTCATCTTCACATGTGGCCTTGCGATCGTCGTTCTCCGAATAGCAAACTACCACGTTGGCCTACGAATCACTGGCCCCGGCTTTCAGACCCTTCGCAACACAATCACTCAGCTTCAAACATACGAGACTTTGTTCTGGTATGGCTTCTCCAGCCTGCTGTTTAGCCATGTGTTCCTATGGGCAATGCCCAAGGCGGCAAACCTCTCTTGGATCACGTACTTCAGCGGTGACCGTGCGAGACTGAACGAGAGACCGCTCTTCTTGCTTGCGTACATGGTCTCATGTGCCATCACGCAAACCTTCAACCATTACCGAAAGGACACCGATCGTCTGGTACTGGCATCGTCAAAGGGCAAGAACGAGAAGCAGCCTGACGCGTTGAAGCTCCTGATTACTGCAGTCCCAGCAACATTTGGCGCTTCTCTTTCCGGTGCCGCAAGTGCGCTGCCTGTCGCCTTGATTCTATACTACACCATACTGCGATCTTTCATCTGGGGATGGGCGCTTATGTTCTTGCGCATCTTCTATAACCTGCCAAAGACCAACATGCTCCCGCCTAGTTGGCCGAGCGATCTTTGGCTTCTTTTCCGATGCATAGAGGCTGGAACTTTCGTGCATTTGATATGGAACATTGGTAACTTTGCTTTTTCGAAATTCATGGTCAAGGAGCCCCTGAAGAATGGCAAGCCTCTTACCTCTGAGTCCAAGGACCCCAATGGCAGTCTTTTGAACGGTCTTAAGAGCAAGAAACTCTCGATCAAGGTGAGATTTGTCACACACGCTCGTTGAACAGTCATTTTAATCGTATCTAGGCATTTGCGATGTGGGAGCTTGCAATCATTGCGCAAGGCTTTGAGACCCGTCGACAGGCTATCTACGAAGACATCGATCGTAAGGATGGACCTATGTGGTCCCAGGTCTACACCATCTGTATGGAAGTGGTCAAGTCCATCGAGACGCGAATTGATACCTATGGCAAAGTTCCTGATGCACCACCCGCTGCGCCGGCTCCGGAACCCAGGCAGCGAGTATCCGCTCCTCTCCGCGACGATCCCATCTTTAACAGTCGAGGGGCTTCCAAGACGATGCTTGGTGAGGTTGAGAAGCGATTAGGACAGGCCGCACTATCCCCTGGCGAGTCTCCTATGTCCAACTTGAGCCCCATCGCGAAGAAGACATGGAAAGAGGCCAAGGACCGGGTCTTGACGAAGGAGCAGCAGGAACTTGTTGCTCCCGATCACATAAAGAGCCAACTTGAACACTGGACTCTCCAAGTGATGGAGGTAGACACTGTGGCTGCCCTTTTCCAGCAAGATTTCCGAACCCAATTTGCTGCTGCGGTGCTGGGTACCCCATACGCTGAGCCTACACTTTGTATCAACGCGATCAACGTGCTTCACCATCTCTCAGTGCACAGCTTGGCAGAAGATCAATTTGGTAATGTGCACAGAGATGTGCCAAGCATTATCCGAACCTTCACATCAGTAATCAAGAAACTGGAGGCCTTCCGCCTGCACTTCCCACTGCACTGGACTGATGTGTCGGGCAAGAGGATCAGCCCTGAGGTGGAAGAAGTTGTGGAAGCTCTGAAGACTGCTTTGCAACAGGTGCTGGGCAAGTTTGAGCCTTATAGCAGCGACCTTAGACTGACACTCACTGATATTCGCTTGGCCAAGGAGGCTTCTGCGACTTCAAAGAAGTCTGAGATGGCAGAGGTGGCGCGATAGGTCAAAGGACGTAAAGCACAGGCATATCGGGAAGGATATTAATGTATTATGATACCATTGTAACAATTCGGAACACGATAAAAGCAATTGAGCAATTATTCCATCCATGGATCTAATAATAGTATGTATTTATTGCAGGAGCTTCATATGTTGAAGCTAATACAGTGCAATTAAAGATAGTGGGGCCGCCGTTGTACCGTATCAAAAACACAGTGTCCGCGCCCAACCCACACTGTAGCTCCAAGGGTACTCGCCAACTGCCAACCTCTTCCTGTCCAACTCTGGTTACATCAATCGCATCATCACCAAATAGGTCCGCCTTTTGGACATGCCATTCTCAACCCAACCCCCTCAACAACTACAGTGACACCACTTGCTCACTGTAGCATCTTCATTCACTCGTTCAGCTTCTTCTTTAACCTAGTCATGTCCCACTCTTCGTCCCTTTTCTTATTATACTCACGACCCCGGTCATAGCGGCCTTTGGTAGCATCGCAGCGCATTCGTAACTGCGGCTTTCTTGTGCCCATGGACTAGGAATATGGCGTCTCCCGTTTCTCATCGACGGCTTGTCGCCTCTATCGTCTACCGAACTCTCTACCTTCTTCTCTACGTCTGCCTTCTAGGACTACTAATATCCACCCCTGCCGACGCCATTCATCGCTCGTTCCAAAATCGACAGCTCTACAACATCTGGATCGTCGCTGCCGCCTACGTTCTCGCCATTGTCATCATTTCCTTCGTCTTTATCACCCGTCTATACATCAACAAGACCGATCTTGGGTCGATACCGAAAGGATGGGTTCCAATCGAGAAGGGGGATCTTCGCTCGGCTGTCTATAAAGTAATTGCGCTGGGTCTTGGGCGAAGTGCAGCGATCGCATACGAATCGCGCCCCAGGCTTCAAACAGACAACACGGCCCCGGATGATGAAACTGTCGAAACAAGGGTTAAGCTGGGTTTTGATGGTCCTAGTGGTCCGGCGGAGGAGTTGGTGGTGGTGATCCCTCGTAAAAAGCCTGTTTGGGGAGATATCGAACACTATGGATGGTCCTCACCCAACGCTCCGGATTTACCGAACCTCGAGTACACCACTGTCTTCTCAGAACTGCCTAATTTGATCGAGGGCAAAGCTTTGACTCTTGC